GGGAACGAAACCCAGGGCTTTATGCCTGCGAAGCTTGTGTCCTCCACTGGCTGATCTACAGAGGAACCTTCTGGAAAACAGCTCTATCACGGTTCCACACTGGTGTCTATTTAACCCTTACTCTGCTGTTAGCAGTCAGGGTGTCTTCATTTTTTCTCCAACGAATGATGTTGTGTGTAGATCCTTGAATACATCTCTCTTTTTAAGATGTGTTTCAGGCTTTTTGCCATCTATTACTCATATTTTCTATGTGGCTATATTAACTTGTACTCCCACGTACCATATATGAATGTGCCCTCCTTGCCTATTCTCCTATGAACACTGGGTGTTTGAAAATTGATGGCAATTTAGTAGACTAACTATGGCTTCTGCTAGGGTTTGATACGTCCCCAATAGTTCCTGTGACAAGAGATAGCCTGGAATGAATTTGAGTTTTATTGTGGCCATAATAAGGATTCGTGGATCTTTAGGAGCTTGATCTTATGTGAGGTCATCATCATTATCGTATGTGTGTCGGTGTTTTGTCTGTATATATGTTGGTGTACCATGTGTGCAGTGCCTGCTAGTGTAAGAAGAGCACATCAGATCCCCTAAAACTGGAGCTATACGCGGTTGTAAGCTACCCTGTAAGTGCTGGGATTTGAATCTGGGTTCTCCGAAAGAGCAGCCAGTGATTTTAACCACTAAGCCATCCAGCCAGGCCCAGTGGGAGGTCTCTACTCCCACTGAGAGAGAGAGCTGGATCTTGGGTAAAAATTAAGGTAGCTCTTACTGGACTCTGAATTAGTTCTCACAAGAGGTTGTTATAAATGAACAAGCCTGCTGGGCCAGTGGGACAGCCTGTGTTCCCAGCAACATAGAAGGGTGGAGCAGGAGGAGGGCAAGTTCAAGGCCTGCCTGGGTAACAGTGAGTTCACAGCATCCTGGACAACAAACACAAACTTGCCTCACTTTTTTTTTTCAATTTTTGTAGTTCTTTCCCTCCCTTCAATTTTTTTTAATGTAAGATACATCTTTGTATAGCTCATGCTGACCTTGAACTTGCTTAAGCTGAGAATGACCTTGAACTTGATCTTTAACTCCTGATGTTCTTGCCTCTATTTCCCATGTACTGGGATTACAGACATGCACCACCCCAGTGGTTTATGCAGTGTTAGGGAGCAAACCTAGGGCTTCATACATGTTAGACAAATGATCTACTAACTGAGCTACATCCCAGTCATGTACTTATACACACACACACACACACACACACACACACACACACACACACACACACCAAAGGGGTAGGAATATAGCTCAGTGACAGAGATCTTGACAAATATGTATGCATGTGCGAGACCCTGGGTTTAACCTCTAGTGCCACAGAAAGAGAACAAACCAAACAATACAGAAAAGAACAAACCTGGCCACTGCTTAGTTGCTCTGATTTCCCATCTGACTACATCACCTCTCCATCTCACATATCCCCCAACCACTGATGCCAGCCACCACAGTGCTCTCAGCAGAGCCAAGCCAATACCAGTCCCATGCCCTTGAATGTTATTGTTGGTTGCTTTACTCTTTTAGACCTTTTTTTTGGGGGGGGGGCGCTCCACCAGGTCCCAAATCAATCACACATGGAATCTTACTCTTTTGTGTAAACACCCAGCCTTAGCTTGGTTTGTTTCTAGCCAGCTTTTCTTATCTTAAATTACCTCATCTATCTTTTGCCTCTGGGCTTTTCTCTTTCTCTATTGCTATTTCCTTTCTTTCTTTTTTTTTTTTTTGTGACTTGCTGTGTAGCTGGGTGACTGGCCTCTGATGTCCTCCTCTCCTTGTCCTATCTTGCTCCCTTTGCCCCCCTCCCAGTTCTCTCCTCCTATTTATTCTCTCTATCTGCCAGCCCTGCCTATCCTTTCTCCTGCCTTGATATTGGGGAGTTAGCTCTTTATTAGACCAATCAGTTATTTTAGATAGGCAAAGTAACACAGCTTCACAGAATTAAACAAATGCAACGTATTTTTGCATTTTTAAACAAATGTTCCACAGCATAAACAAATGTAACACATTGTGGGGACAGACTTTGAGGTCTCTTTTTCTCTAGTTTCCCTCACTGTGACTGTCAGTCAACTTCCTATTGCCTGTAAGATGTAGCACTCTCAGCTCCAGCATCACATCTGCCTGCATACTGCCATACTCCCTATCATAATGATAATAGATTGAACCTTTGAGACTGTAAGTGAGCCTCCTCAATGAATTGCTTTCTTCATATGAGTTGCTGTGGTCATGGTGTCTCTTCACAGGAATGAAAACTCTATGTGATAGACCTGTGTGCTTGTTTGGAGAATTTGAACTTTGGGTTAGGAAAGCAATGAATTGCTTTAAGCACTGCTTACGGGGCCATACTAGTAGGAGCATGGGAGACAGGGGTACTAAGAATTATCTGAACTGTAAGGGGCTCTCTCAAGAGATTTCAACGGAGAATAATTTTAGTATGTTCCCTATAGATCATTCTTGTAATGTTTTGGTGAAGAAAGTGGCTGCATTTTGCCTTTGTCCAAAGAGTCTACCTGAGGCTAAAGTGAAGAGTTTTGGATTAATTTTGTTGGCAGAAGAAATCTCAAAACAGCCGAGTATAGACTCTGCCATGTGGTTTTTTAGTGGCAACTCTAATGAAGAATTATAATGACAAAGAGCAAGCTGAGCAGGGTAAATAAAAAAAAATGAAAATTTTGAGGAGAAAAGTGCATCAGGTAGAGGAATAGAGCTGTATTCTCTGTTCAAGGAGATAAAGGAATTAAGAAATCAAATATAGGAGTGGTGACCTCAGAGCAAGCTAAGTTTCCAACTTGGGAAAAGGTCTAAAGGGAAGTTTAGAGCCAGTTGTGGTGGGGCATACCAGAACTTTTAAGGCAGAGGCTGACAGATCTCTGAGTCTGAGGCCAGTTTGGTCTACAGAGCAAGTTTCAGGATAGCCAAGCTTAGGCAGTGAAGGACAGAAAGCTGGTGAAGATGTAATTAAATAAGGGGGCCATGTTCCAGCACCAGTAAGCAGCAGAAGTTAGCAGCTTTGGCCACATGGTTCTGGCTTTAGGGTTAAGGATAGAAGAAATGGGCTATGGAATTTGCTTCCCTACCTAAATAAAGCTGCGGAGGCCAGACATGTGTCAGCGGTGTCCCTGAATGGAGACCTATTAGGCCATTACGTGAAGCTGTGAAGTTGAAGCCTAGATTGCCTTGGAGAACTCAGTATGTTAAAGATGCCAGAGCTGGGATACCTGCCAAGGAGAGCTGCTAACAGGGAGTGGAGCCAGTCCAAGAGAAAGACGTATGTTTCAGTCAACAGAGTTGAACAAAGTTGGAAATCTGAAGAGCATTTTGACATCAGACACGGAGCTGCAGAGTTTGGGGTTTGCCCAGTTTTCGGTCTTGCTTTGGTTCAGCATTTCCTCATTATGCTCCCTTCCCTGTGTTTTGGAGTGATAATGTATATACTGTGCCACTATATGTTGGAGGTATGTGATTTGCTTTCTTCTTTTGATTTTTACAGGGGGATTGCAGTTAAAAGATTACCACGCATCTCAGAAGAGTCTTTGGACTTTGAAACAAGTTTGAGACTGTTATAGACTTATGGGGACTTTTGAAATCAGACTGAATAATTTTTTTTCATTGTTAAATCTATAAGCCTTTGAGGGTCAGGGAGTGAAATGTGGTTTGAAAAGAAATGACCCCCAAAGGGAGTGGCCCTATTAGGAGGTGTGACCTTGTTGGAGGAAGTATGTCATTGTGGGGGTGGGCTTTGAGGTCTCTTTTGCTCAAGCTTCCCTCAGTGTGACTGCCAGTTGACTTCCTGTTGCCTGCAAGATGTAGCACTCTCAGCTCCAACACCATGCCTGCCTGCACACCACCACCCTGCCATGATGATAACGGACTGAACATCTGAAAACTGTAAGCCATCCACCCTCAATTCAACGTTTTCTTTATAAGAGTTGCCATGGTCATGTTTGTATCCGCTCTGTTTCTCTAGAGAACCCTGAAAAATACAAGTGTGGACTACCCCGCAAGAGACCAGAGTTAAGTCTGTTTTTCTTTTTTCTTTTTTTCCTTTTAGTTTTTCAAGACAGGGTTTCTCTGTGTAACAATCTTGATTGTCCTGGAACTCACTCTATAGACCAGGCTGACCTTGAACCTACAGAGATCCACCTGCCTCTGCCTCCTGAGTGTTGGGATTAAAGGCATGCGCCACCACTAACCAGCTAAAACAAGTCTTAAATATTAAAATAACAAGGCTCAAAAAGAAAGGCTTGCTATTATAAATGTGAGATCCATTTATAAGTTAGGTATGTTACTCTTTTTAGTGGGATATGTTTGGAAAAACTGTACCTGTTGAAGTAAAATCTTAAAGCATCCATCTGACTCACTGTCAGCAAATCTCACACAATTTCAGATACATCACTAAATCCGTAAGAGAGCTGTGTAGGGTTCGTGTGCCACACACATACCGCCCTTGGAGGGAGTAAGTGGAAGCTAAAGGCAGACTGACTTTTCTGACTGGGGGATAACTGTGAGGTCTGCTGAGAGTCCTGCTCACCGTGCCTTGCGCATGCCTGTATAAAGCCTGCTGAGAATTCCCCGTCCCACCTTTAGCCCCTGGCACAAAGCAGGCTCAGTGCTTCTCTTGCAGTATTTCCATCCCCCCTCCTCCACATACTTCACAGAAAAGCGCCAAGTGAACTATAGCCAGCCTCATTTGCCACAGCTACTCCAAGAGTGTTTTCAGTTCATTTTTCTCTGGGCCAATTTGCCTTCTTTTTCTCGGGAAGAGGAACCCCGCGGCAGGACTGGGACTGGAACTGGTGTGTAACCAGTAAATGTGGTGGTGGAGAGGATATACCCTTACACAGTCCCCGAGAAAGTTCTGGAATTTCAGGTGACAATGTGATAAATCCTTTGGCCTCCAGGGAAATCAGCTAACCCCTGCCAAATATCCTTAGCTGAAGGTACTGCCAACAGATGCCAAAAGTACATCGTTGTTTATTCTCTCCGCCGGGAGTCTGTGTTCCCACTTGACCAAAAAACAGAAAGAAAGCCGATGTTCAGTTTAATGTTGCTCATTCCAAGATAAATTTGTTTTCTGTAGACCCAGGGAAAGAACAAACAGTAGACATATTGGCGCCATTTGCCTTTGCCCTCTGGAGAAGCTGGCATCTCGATTGCATTGTTTCTGCTCCCTGTTTGCAGACAGGTGATGAGGCATGGGCTACTTCCCCAGTGCTGATGGGAACTGGCTTGCACTGAAACCAGATGGCACATCCAAGGCAGATTTATTACGTTTGGAGGGAAGAAAGGGCGAGATTTAAAAAAAAAAAAATTAACACAAAAAGATGTCTGATCTTTGCTTTCAATCTTGGCTTGATCAATTAGTACTTGAAAGATATTCTTAGCAAAATATAGACTATGAACTGCCTTTTAATTGAGATGCATGTTCTATAGACCCTCGTCTGTGTGAAACCAATCAAATAACAGCTAGCAGAGACCACATATTCTTCTCTTGCAGCAGTGGTACCGAATGTTAAGCTCTGACCCGGGGTTTGGGGAAACTTTTGGTTTAAGGGATTTCTGCCTGCCCAGAGTGGTGTTCTTCTAATTTATCTGAAAGAACCCAGTACAGTGGCCCCTGGAGCCAATGCCAGCTCTCCTCTGCACCTGGTCTTACTACTCTTTGACTTCAAACACGGTCAGCTCTCATGGACCCAGACTGGTCACATCCATCTCCCCAAACCTTCAACCAAAGGGTCCAGCTATGTGAGTGTTGCACTCCATCCTATTTTGAGTCTGGATTCTACCGTTCCATGGCTCTGCTTTCATTTCTGGGGTAATATGAAGAGTTACTACTCAGGGAGATTGTGAGAATTAGATGAAATACAGAGTGAGGAGAACATAAAATCATGCCTTGCAGACATTGAAGTGTGTGTGTGTGTGTGTGTGTGTGTGTGTGTGTGTACAATTGCCTTCACATACCTGTATAGGGCAAGAATGGAAGAAAAACATTAATCATCTGAGGACATTGAAATTCTTAATATACCTCAGCTCCTCTAACTGGCAGTTACTCTGGGATGTTGCAGTTATTGGGGCACAATGACATGAGTCAACCATCTTTGCCTTCATTTCTAGCTATGAAATGAGGGCCACAGTGTTGGTGGAGACTGCTCGTTTGTCCTTGGCCACTCAGACCCGAATAATCACACAGAAACTATACTAATTACAACACTGTTTGGCCAATAGTTTAGGCATATTCCTGGCTAACTCTTACATCTTAAATCAATCAATTTCTATTAATCTGTGAATCACCACGAGGCTGTGGCCTATCGGGAAGGCTCGATCTGGCAGCTGGTTTCCTTCTTCTCTGGCAGCCAATGGCATCTTCTTGACTCCGCCTACTCTCTCACTATGTATCTTTTCCAGCCTGGCTATATTCTGTTAAGCCATTGGCCGAAAGCAGCTTCTTTATTAGCCAATGATATTTACAGCATACAGAGGGGAATCCCACATCACCGCAGTGGACATTTCTACTCAAGCTGTCGTACCTTGAAGACTCTTGCCTTCACCAGGGACAGCGGGCCAGGGCCCCATGCTTCTCCTGTCTTGTAATTTTAGACATAGCCAGCATTTTGTAACACTACTACTTCCTATCTGGCTTAAGATAGCACAGATAAAATCACCTCCATGATTTTGAATAGACCATCTCCTTTTTAATTTGGCTTTCCAGAAATGGAGGCCATCCAAGGAAGAACAGAAAGAGGGAAAGGAATAGGTAAAGGGCTATCATTCTAAAAGGTTCTAAGCTTACTCCAAAGAGACACAGTAGTCAACATTCCCAGACTCTGAGAGAGAGTTCTGATGTGGAATATCCTTCTGTGTTGCTTTTATTGGTTAATGAATAAAGCTATTTCTGCCAATGTTAGCAGAGTAAATCCAGGTGGGAAATTCAAACACAGAGAAAGAAAGAAGGCAGAGTCAGGAAGATGCCATGAAGCTACCGAAGAAGAACACCACAACCTCATGGTGATACACAAATGAATAGAAATGGGTTAATTTAAGTTGTAAGAGCTAGCTAGAAATACACCCAAGCCACCAGCCAAACAGTGTTGTAATTAACGTAGTTCTTGTGTGATTGTTTGGGTCTGGGTGGCCGGGAAACAAATGTGCAACCTCCGTTTACAGAGCTCAAGGTCACCTTCCTGTGAAGTGTAGTAACCCAGCCCTGGTTGACATTAGCGCTGCTGGGTTCATTGATGACTGAATTTCCCTTTAAGACCTTTCTATATTCCAAGGTTAGTCAGAACCAGAGCTAGTCACAGCCTCTGGCCACGGGGATTTTTACTTTCAAACTCCAAAGCTGCTAAGTGAATGAAATCAGCACACTGTTTTGCGAGCCTAACGCGGCTGGATGAAGTGAAGGAGCTGAATTTCTGGGACACAGTGTTTTCTGGAACTCTGAAAGCCTAAAAGAAGAGCAAAAGAAAAAAAAAGCTCCTTTTAAAGAGCCAGTAGGTGAAGAAGCTGTACTCAGTTCCCAGGGCTGCCTGGTTCTGAGCCCAGACTGTCTCTCATTGTGGGAAACCCGTAGTATTGTGTGAACTGGAACATTAGGTCACTTCAACAAAAAGGTGAATTGCACTTACCAAATTAAAATTCCATGATAGAGTATGCTTCACTGATCTTTAGAATCATGCCTCTTAATCTAGATAAAATAATGTAAACAGAAAAGGTCAGGGGGCAAGTTCTCTCCTAAAAAACTGTCACTATCTCAGGAAATCCCCATCAGTGGTCCCTGCATTTTCAGTCATTCGGTAGCATGTACTCCAATTGCAGACTTGATCCCTGGGAGGAAATAATTAATGCTGATAGGGTTCTTTTCTTTTTTCTTTTAAGTAAACCCAAAGTGTAATACAACACCAAACACCCTACAGACCAAGGAAGAATCCGGTGTACAAAGGAAGTTTCCCATATCAATAATGGGTCTTCGCAGGGAAGGACAGGGTGACGTGACCTTTGGGAGAGCAAGCCCGGTGACGTGCTGGAGATGGGGCTAGTGGAGAGGACCAGGTCGACAAGGATGGCAATGAGACCAATCTGGGTGTGAGTACGAGCAAGCGGGAAATTTGTCAAGACGGAGGAGAGTTAACTATGCTGAAGATGGACCAAAGCTCAAAGATGAGAGCGCTCAACTGGAGTTTGTGACTGGTCTTAGTTAGGGATAACAACATGCTATGTAAATGGAGACCTTTACCTGGGATACCCAGAATGCTCCTGGCACCTTAGGCACATTTTGACAGCCTAGCTCAAGACATTGCCTTGCACACACACACACACACACACACACACACACACACACACACACACACACACACACTTTCTACCCCTGAAAAGACTGTATGCTCCAAACTCTAGGCCAAGGCTCCATGCATGGGATGCTATTGTACTCACAGGGCAGCTGCTCCAGAGCTAACAGTGTCAGAGGCAGAGAGACAAGTTAAATAAAAAGGCCTACACTTGGAAGGTTTTAGATCGTTCATGGGTTGGATCCATGACATCAAACATCCAAGGTAAGAGAACTTCTGACAGAGTCTTCCTTTGTCAAGCAGACATTTGAGTTAGGAAAAGGGAGCAAGAAGAGGCTTGCCATTGCAGGATGTGGAGGTAGCACTATAGGCCCATATTCCACATGCTGAAGGATATACATGTGCTACTTCATGCTAGCAGATGTGGCTCCTGTTAGCCCTAACCTTGGGCTCCATCCACCTGTGATAGCCACGTGGGCACACAGCTGGTGATGCCCCATGTGCACACATCCCCATAGGCCTCAGGGTGAGCTCATGATTGATCTCTTTTGAAGGACCACAAAGCACTGCCTTGTCTAATTTGCGCTAGTCAACTTTCAATTATTATCACTGATTGCTGCCATGATCAACTTACAAAAGGAATAACTTTATTCTGGTTCATTCCAAGAACAACGGGCACTGCTGGATTTTGTGCTCTCTTCAGGGCAGGACATCAGAGAGGGGAGCACGTGGCAGGAGGGTACTTGCTTCATGGAAGCTGGTGAGAGAGAGAAAGAGAGAGAGGGAGGGAGGGAGGGAGGGAGGGAGGGAGGGAGGGAGAGAGGGAGGGGGAGAGAGTGGGAGAGAGAGATTGGAAGGGATTTTCTTTGAAGACACAGTCCTAAGGACCCAGCTTCCTCTAATAAGATGTCATTACAAAATGTTTCGGCCACCCCTCAATAGTGCCAGGCTAGAACCAAAACCTTTAGTATGGGGGTCTTTGGGGACATCCAAGACCCAAACTACAGTACTCCCATTTATGTTGGAAGCTGCCAACACCTGACAATTAAGTTCTTTCATACCTAAAATGTTCTAGAAGGTGAAGGGGGCATGTCCCCTTGGCACATCAGAAAATTAACCACTTGGAATTGGAGCATGGGCTCAGTAGACCAGGCTGGGTGTCTGTGCAGAAGTTATATATAACAGAGTTCCCACCCTTCCTCCGTCCCTCTGTCCCTCGCTTTTCCTTCTCTCCCTCTCCCTTTTCCTTCTGTTATCTAAAATATTCTTTCTCCTGATTTACCATTTTAGTTTTCAGTAGACTGGCTTTCAAAGAACTCCGTTCTCTTCTTTATCTGAAGCACCTTTGTAGCCAAAGTTGGCTTCACACTTTAAATCGTCTTGGTTTAGGCCCTGAGGCTGCAGGAGCAACAGGCTTGCACTACCACACATAGCTTCAGGGGACTCTGGAACAGGCTTCTCCCAAACTTCCTCAGTAGTGACTTTGCTCCAGGCAGACACTTTATCTCGCGTGTCTGCCACACACCCTGGGCTCCTACTCTCAGGGTGGTGGGGCGTGGGTTACGGGCAGTGGGGGAGCCTTTCTAGCCAAGGGGATCTTGAAACACTTTGCAAGTAGAGAATAGTTCCTTGCAGGCAGACTCACTCAGCTCATTTATACCAGGCTTTGGAGGGGCACAGGTGACAGGCTGGATCCCACTCAGCTCCCTCTATGAGCTAAACAGATTATCTAATGACGAAGGGAGAAGAGTTTTCTGAAGATACTTATAATGCAAGGGTACTAATTTTTTGATGGCAACTGTTTAGTAAGGGCTTTGTAGATGCAATCTAAAGCATTTTAGAACTAAGGTGGACCTATTTAAGATGCAGTAGGGCACTGAGGTCTTGCCTGGGTTTCCTCCTCAGGCAGAACGTCAGCTTATTCCGTTTGTTAAAAGTGGAAGATTCAGAGCTGACACTCAAGAACAGCGTAGGCCAGGGTGTGCTCAACCACCCCACCTGTGGAGTCAGCAAACCTCCCACTATTTACTGATGGATTAGAGATTGCTTAATGTCTTTGAGGCCCTTCCTACCTCCATGAAAAACCAAAGGGTCAGCATCCATGATTTAGAACACACACACACACACACACACACACACACACACACACACACCACCTCCAAGAAAACACTGGAGTCCTTGAGTGTTTAATTTCCCAGGAAGTCCTTCAGGGTGAATGCAGATAAATATGGACAGTTAAATTACTGATTTTACCTGAGGTATCCAAGACTAACCCTGGGAGCACCCTTATTACAGGATGCTCGCCCAGGACTTGTAGTCATCAATGGGGTGGATGTTCTGTCTGTTTGTCTTTTTGAAGAAACAAATGCACTGAACATGAATAGCCCTCGAATGTCTGTGCATATGTAGTAAAGCTGGAGTATGGTAAGCAGTGAATTTAATCAATTTAATTGAAATCCCCGAGGGTGAGAACTATTTGATTACTTAAAAACTCCCTTGTATTTATTCGTCGAGAATTTTATACATGGACACAGTGAGTATTGATCATAGCTAGTTTCCCCATTTAACTCCCAGATCCCCCCCTCATTTCCCTCCTAACTTCATGATTTTCTTTTCCTCTCTCACTCTCCCTTTCTTTGGGTTCTCGCTTTCTAGAATCATATTGAATCCAAATAGCTGCCCTTATTTCAAGGTGTGGGGCCAACTGCTGAGCCTTTGTAACCTATCAGTGGCCGGGCCCTCAATGAAAGTGACTGTCCTTTTCAACCAGCCATTAATCGCCAATGGCTCCTTAGAAAAGCCAACTGTGAGCAGGGTTTCAAGGCTTCGATAAGTTCGGAGGAGATTTTTTAGGATGGATATGCTATTAGACCAACTCCTTTCAATGGAAACAAACCCAAGCTGAACACAGCGAAAAGAACTACCGTCATTTTCTTGACTCTCCAGAGCAACAAGAATGTCGGATTCATGATGTAGCATGTTTCATGCGGTTGTGACACTAAATGGGATAGCCCAGATACGACACTTTGCTTTGCTTCCGACCTGCAAACACCCACAGCAGGCCAGAGAGGTGCCGGCTCAAACGAGAGGAGTTGAAAACTAGGCTTTAGTAGACCTAGCACACATGGGCCCCAATAACTACTTATCAAATGGATTAGAGGTTGTCGACTCTCACCTGTCTGCCTTTGGTTTAACCACCGTCTCGTTCGAAGCCCCTTTGACACCGGGTCCCTCCTTTCCGCCTGTTCCCCAATGATGTGGATGCAGGGTGCAGGGAATGGAAAGTGAGTAAGAATGAGTAAGGAAGCCGGCTAACTCCTACGCTTTAGGAATGAATAAGAAATCCTTAGAGAACCACAGCCAACAAAGAACCCGATGCAGGGGAACCCAACCCAGAGACCCCAGAGTCCCACACAGCCTTGAGAATCGCATAAGGTGAGCCTCACAGAGGGACAAGGTCCACACCACTAACCCCACCAAGTCCGGCGTCCCCAAGCCTCTAGGTTTGCGCTCGTTTGCAACTCCCGCCCCCGGGGCGGTGCCGGGAACCAGCAGCGCCTCCGCCGGTCACGTGGGGGCCGCTCCACCGGGCGGCGCTGTAGCTTTCCGATCGCGCCCTCCC